ACTGCTGGTATTTGACGGGGTGAATTTAGTGTCTCTTATAGCTACTGACTGACAGCAAGCGTTGGGAAAATAAAAAGCCACCGCTGGGATTCGAACCCACAGTCTGGCGATCTATAACATGAGCTTAACCACTCGGCCATCTCAGAGATATCGCTTTTAGCGGTTCATAACAAAATCATTAACCTCACTGCACAGAATGTTGCTGTTAAGACTGAGTGATTAAAATTCTACAATAGTGCATCACTTAGCATGGTCGTCAACAATAAATGTTCTCCCTGACAGCTTCTCTTAACTATTTTTATATAAATACGCGCATTAATTAGGGGAAGTCCCCGGACCACGTCTATACACATGTCTTTGTAGACGTAATTTTGCGTATTTGCGTAGGCCCCTTTGTCACTTAAGGCACAGAGAATAAGTCAAAATAGCATAAGAAGAAATTTTAAAATGGCTTTAAAAATATCTACCAATAAAGTTTGGAACAAATATTCACTTCTATTGGTTAAACAAGTTGCTTAACATGATAAACAAGTGAGAACTAGAACTCGGAGAAAATGTCCCCATTTCCATAAAGAGACAGAATGTAAAAAATGAAGAAATCGAAATTTCCCAAATTGATTTCTTTCATCATTTTGCTTTAAAACATCCTACTTGACCATTTTTTTGAAAATGATACCAGGGACTGACATTTCAATACATGCATTTTGAATTTTCACGAAGAGGCAAGTATGCCCGCCCCCTGAACACGTGCAAAACGTACTAAAGGCATTAAAGAAGGTCGAGTGAGAGTTTCGTTTTCACGAACTGATACGATGTGCGCGCGTGAGCATGCGTGCTCCCTCGCTACAGAAAACGCGTCTAACACATCGTGTGTGCTGAAATTTGTATTGTAGGCCTACGGTTTATTTCTTAGCAGCAAGTACTTTTTATCAAGTAAAGTATCAGAGTAGTTGTGGAGTCTGTCACAAGTCCAGTCGCAAGTCTTTCACAGACCAGTAACAATGGAAAGGGAGGCTTTTGTTGAACCTGATTTAAAAAGCTTCAGACCCGGCTTAAAACTGGAGGATTAGCAATGGACTTTTCGAGACTTGAAGGGGCTTAAACAGACTTGTATAAATATCACTTGAAGTGCATATACAGGCCAAGACCTCCAGTACTAACACTAATGCTCCCATTTCAACATGAATCAATCTCCTGGGCTGAAGTTTTAACCGAATGTCCCTTATATGAAACACTTCAATTTGCGATTCTTACACATTACAAATTTCTCCTTTTTATACTATAGGGATTTCCGAATATCAGTTTCGTGAAACCCTTGTGAAGACCTATTCAACCCATTCTCCTGGGTCTCCACAAGGCACCATATTCTGAAACCAGTTGAACAAAGCCATGTCTCCACAGGGATACCAATTTCGGAACGTTGGATGGTTTCAATGCTTGAGCGCTACCATTGTAATATTTACTGATGTTGAGGCATTTCTGCTGATTTTAACATACTGGAGCTCTGCAACTGGAATTGATTTTCTGAAAACAGTCCCTCATTTCTGTTCTTATCGTCGGATGAATTGTCATTGTGCGAATGCAAAGTTGTGGCATACCACCACTTACAAATGTAGATTACACACAAAAACAACACCCGAGGAAAAACTACTCTTTCAAAACTTTTATTACTGGTAGAGTGAAAACGGACGAGTCCATCATCTTCGATATGACCATTTTTACATGCAGAGCCGTTTTGATTGTATTGGTTGGCCTAGACTTTCTGAGGTGTTTTCATTTTTACTTTAAAAATTTGCCGTCCTGATCCATCAACTTCTTTGCCATTTATTTTAAACCGTACAGCTTTATTAGTTGAACGTCAGCCATCTTCAGTATCGTCAGGTAGCCTATTGGCAAAGTATACATGAGGAAAACAAGTTAACCCAGTATCGACTAAATACATAATCCCATTCGAGCCAAGTCCGATGGAGGTATACCATTATTGGTCATGCATTCGGATCACTCGAGCTCCTGTGGGACAACGGCAGAGACAGATGTATCAGAATTATCTCTCTTGACCCAAAGAGCCCTGCTGAAGGAAAAGTCGCAATGTTTGTCAAGCGTTTAAACAAATGGTAAATTCTCATTGAGGTTTTGGAAATACTTAGGGCAGCTAGGCCTATACCATAGAGCACTTAAAGGGAACCATTTAGGACAGGATTGAGGCACTTTGATGAATTTCCCGCCGATTATATCTAATGGACGACTGTTAGGGTTGGGTTGAGGTTTGCATTTTCACTTAGGTGATGTTATTGATTTGTGTTTGTGTCAAGCAAATAGGCTGGGTTTCGTTGGGGATCAAATGTTTGGAATTGGGTTTGGACACGGGGGTTGTGGTTTGGTTATGAGATCAGCGCGAAGTGAGATTTTCAGTTTCAGTTTGGTCTCTCTCTTCCAGTTGTTGGTTTTGAAGGAGGGTTGAATAAAGGTTGAACTTTTTGGTCACAAAATAAGAAATTTGGGTATGAAACGTACTCATGTGCATAGGGCCTCTGGTTTTATTTCCACGATCGGTTGCTTTGAAAGCAACTTGGCAGAGGGGCCGGGCAGTGAATCGAACTTCTGATCGGTAGTTTCATCGGCATAACCGAAAAATATTTCTTATTTCTTTCCTTAAAATGTGGCTTCAGGTCAGCTGTTTAGACACATTCAAATCCTAAAAAGAGCTAATGACCATTCAACTTACACTGATCAACATTCCAACCGAAAGATTGACAGATTGATTGATTTCTTGCGGTCGATATTGTGATCGAAATTGATTAATTGATCGATGCCAATTAAGCATTAATAGACTGGCTGGCTGGTGTTACATGAATTTTGGCTCCTATGAAACGAGGCATGCGTAATACGGCCAAAGAATCCTTCTGTTTAAAAATTTCACGCTTCGATCTAGAGTGACGTACCGCTTTCAAACGTTAAGTACGACTTTTGCAGACACCCATCCCATGCCACACTTCTTTGTAGTAGTATTATTGGTCATCGAACGTCAAGCAATCATTGTTGCTCTTACAGGGTCGGCCTAAACATCAATCAGATGTCATTTCATAAACGTAGGCATGTGTTTCCTCAGAGAATGCATGACTAATGCAATATTGAGGAGGTTCGGGCTTGTTTGAAGTGACATTTGTAAAACAACCAATGTTTCGCGCGATATTTTGCAAAATGTGGGCTGTTTGGAAAATTCTGTGACCTTTTGATGACATATGAGGGGTCCTTTGGCAGGACGTTTGATGATCGAGGAAGATGTCATGATGACTTAATCAAACCTGACGATTTCAATTACACTTACAAGGAGAGCCTTATCGTCAATCTTCACAAATTTTAGTTAGAGTAATAGATGAAAATATTTTGGAGACACCCGATTGTATTTTCTGCCAGGATGTTGGAAAATAGTCCTGGAGGATGCCTGCTTTGCGAAATTACTAGTGTGTCTCCTCTGTCGTTCCTAACGCCCAGTAGAAGCGGTCTCCGCTACAGCCGGTTTCGGGACGATTTCGCGCTTCGTGCCGAAGTCACCTACTGTTCGATACACGACACACTCTTCTCGATTGGGTCAAGCACGGCTTGCAGCTCGTTATAGAGCTCCTCAACGTCTGTATCTGGGCACTGTATCTGTATGTTGGTGCGTACACTTGTAACAGTATGGTTGGGATTGGGTTTGCACCTCACCTATAGACTATTTGCCCGTACGTTTATACCCAGCAAAAAATGAGACCGAGGGGTACCCCCAACATGTCAAATCCCTATACACATTCCAGACTATTGTTACTTAACACATCTCCCCAAGATGTCTGAAAGGAATTCCCTAGATTCCTGCGAGACAATGACCAACACAAAGGGGGGGGGTTCTCTCCGTCTCATACCTTGCTGCAATATGCGGAAGTTGGTCATGGAGTAAAGAACCGTAATTCGTGCAATACCCTAGTCTCTTGGGACCTTGTCCGGTTGAATTTTAAACAGGAGGACTGTTGTTACTGCAACACACTCTTCTGACAGGCAGTTCCACTCTCTGGCTTAATAAGTTTATGTAAATTTAGACGACACCGTCTCTTTTTTAGTGTCATTGAAAGTCCCTTGTTCTTGTGTCAGTATTCGTGTGAGGAGACCATGGGACTCCAGATGGTCAACTCCGTTGAGGATGCAGACAACTTCAAGCAGATCCCCGCACAATCCTCTTGTTCCTTCCAAAATGTGCCTTTATGAGGGCGATCAACAACACACAGAGAAGTTTCTGGTGCACAGGCTGGACTTTGACCCACAGCAACTCTGTACATCAAGATCCTGCTCGTGCATCACGATGATATCATTTCTCACGGCAATACGCACACCTTTGGACTTGGATCTTTTTTCGTATAGATAGTGTAGTCTATGGGGAAACATGCTGAGGTGCCTATTTGCTTACGAACAGCAAAAGACCCCCCCAAAAGGGGATGAAAATCACCACTTTACTTGTCACTGCCACAGAATTGGCCCCTTTCCACTGTATATCATCAAAGTCTGCTTCTAATGGGTGCTTTGCCCCCATCCCGCAAAGTCCCCATCCCCCCCCAGAAAAATCCTGGTGATATCCATATAAGTAGCCCCACTGCCTGGACGGAATCTTTGCCCATGGATATGATGATGCTGAGTACATGGTGAGTAACAGGTAAAAAATGGACAACATAAACTGTTTACATTTCAGGTTCTGGATCTCCACATTAAGTTTATTTGCAGATAGGTTCTCTACAAATAATACATAATTGTGACTTCGAAAGTGATTTGGAACTAGACAAATGTATAATAAATCAAATATCGACTGCTGAGATGTGGGATATGATGTTTTAACACTCTAAGCGATACAGGGCACCTCGCGTCACCCTGGGTGCTTACAACTAAAACGTCACACCCGTATTGGGGCAGTAAATCATTAAGAGTTGCCTTCAAATGAAAAAAAATCTGGAGGGTCGGTCAGTCAAAGTTAATTTAATTTAAAGGCTCCAAATTGTGAACCTATATCCTTTCTTCCTATATGAAATTAATGCTGAAAAAGGTAAAAGGTTTACCAGCCCAAATGCCGTGCACTGTTGGCTGCCTGTAACTGGTTCTTGGCGGGTATTCGCCAGGAACAAAATCACTGGCTCAGCAATATTGTTCTGTTCAGCAGAGAACCACGAAGTCAGTCATATTCAAAAAATATCCCGCATCCCGGCAAGGCATGGCTCAAAAGCACGCCTGACCAAACCGGACAGCCAGAAGGTGTGATGCCATACATTAGAAGTATCGGCCAGTGTTGAACCAGTTGCCAATAGTTTCTTGCATTAGGGGCACAACTTGTGGCCTGAACTGACTGAGACCCACAAGGAAAGCTCAGCAGCTTCTACTGAGGATTTGCCCTCAAAGGGCCAGGCAGAGTTAATACCAGCAACAGAAGTATGTCTCTTAGATGGAATAAGAATCCATCCTCCCTCCCTGAACACGTGGAGACACCAAATTGGAGCATCGCTGTCAGGAGGCCAGCACTGCCATCAACAGCTCCATCTTGTTGACAAAACTCCTGCCGGGGATCCGCTCCAGGTCCACCTCCCGGTAGTCCGTCATAATGGTCTCCCACTTGGGATCTGTTACCACGTTGCTTTTGTGCTCAGTGTCATGTGGGTTTTTGCACCCCTTCACCAATACCGTGATGCCGTTTAGCGGGTCGCTCCGCACAGCCACCATCCTTTAAGAAACATGGAAAGGAGACAATGTGATCACTGCTGGTATTTTAGATTTCTCTTGAGCAACTTTGGGGTACACCCTTTCAATTTTTGGATGGGTCATTTTGAGTAGATGGTGCCTTTAAGTACATAACAAATTGACATGTTTTGACATATTCTTTGGTTTCAGATAGTAAAAACACTTTCTTTAAAGCTTACTGTGGGTAGCAAGCAAGCAAAGCATTTCAGTTTGAACAACACATCACCTTTAACTACTAGCTCGTCTTGCATTTTGTCCTGCACATTGCAAGTTTTTGGCTTTTTATCCAACCAAACTTTCCATTAAGGAGGTCTTGTTGAATTTGTCACTGTTTTTTGCCTTTGCAGTAACTTTGTAAGCTACATTCTCTCTTGCAGGCATTCTAAAATTAAACATCAAGCAGTCATGAAAGACCAACAGTGAAAGACGTCCCGATGTGAAGGATTGTCACAAGGCTTATCAGAATTTTTCTACAGAAAACTAAACAGGAGCACTGTGTACTCCTTGAAGGACAAGTGCCAAGACCCAAGCCCTATCCTAATCTCACCTCTGGCCATGGTGCGTAGAGACAAGGACGGATGAAGCGTTTCCGAGCTTGGAGGCAGACCCAACGCCAAGTTGGAAGTTATAATGAAGGATGTGCATGCTCATCGATTTTGACAGGGACAACATGCTGGAAATCTGGTGCTGGGATATCTGTGTTGGATCGACAAGAGTTGAGAGTCCAATCTCGTGCGGTGCTAAAACAACATGGCACCAAACTAGTATTTGAAATATCAAATCAAAAAACCAACACAACTCTTGGATACCATTCCGTTTGAATGGCTTGGATCCACCTTGGATCCACAATTAGGAGGAATTCTGGCAAACTGGGACGACTCTTAGCTCAAATGCCATGGTGGATTTATTGAAATTTATGTCTACTGCACGTTTTAAAGAAACAGTACAAACACAGAGGAGTAACAGAGATAAGATGAAGCAAGTTGGCATCTTTTACTATCACAGAGACCAAACTTAACGTTGAAGCCCTTTTCTCAAAATTTCGTTTTGTTAACAAGTTGATTATGTGCTGAAACAGTCAGAACTTGTCGACACTATGCCCTCCTTAAGCTCCCTTCTATCAATGCCAAACCCTCAGTGTGACATCTGCTCAGTTCATACTCACAACACCACACTGTAAAGGGGGCCCATGTGTTTATACCTGACACTGGATCAAGTCCTTCAGCTGTTGCTCCTCGTGATTCGCATGGATGACCCGACCGTCTTTGCACAGCACTCTGATCTGGTCCACTTCCACGGTGAGTTGCAGCAACGTCCTGTGGCGAAAAACAGAGAGAGGGAAAGTGCTGGAATAGGTATGTGCCAGGAGTGGGGAAAGGGCAAAGTTCCCATCAGCCAGGAAACAAAGGGGGGCAATTCCAGGCTACTTCCTTTTCCTTGTCCATTTGTTCTAGGGTGGATCGGAGGGTGCAAGTCACCCCTTCACCCCCCATAGGACACCCATGAATTTACAGGTACATGTAGGTGACCCACTGGGATAAGCAGCGGTCCCTTAAACAGGAGCACAGACACATGTATTACTAAATGGCATTGAAGCTAGGGACAAGTTCGAGAGACATCCATTTGCCATTTGTAAACCACTTGTTGAATATTTTGTGCACAGGCTGCCACGGAACACCAACAAATGGTTGACAAATTTGCCCTTTGTTGTCATAACAGAAAACAAACAAGTGCAAAGGCAATCTTCAAATGTAATCTCATTATCTTGGTAGGTCAAGGAATTGACTGAAGCAACAAAATTTGAGGGATGATGCTCATTTCGGGAAAGCTGGGCACAAAAACAAAATGGCCAACTCTCAGCCACAATTCAGTCCACTTACGTCGCTATCTGTTCGTAGCCACTGGTGGAGATGTGGACCTTGGCTGTGCATACCAGCGGTTGAGAGTGTGCGCTCCAGTGCACCAGGATGATGGGGTCCTGCAGGTCACATGACAGCTGGGTAATCACGTCCGCCACTCTAAAATTGGTTGAAATTTGGCAAAATTAGAGATGCTCACAACTTTCACCTGACCGGGAAGACAACTGGAAACAAGGAATGAAGTTTGCAGCAGCATCATGTACATGCACATAAATGTTGGTCACTTTATGGTTCCAGTTGACTTGATGTGCCAAACAACTTGAAAACGTACTCTTCTTGCCTCCATCTCTCAATGACAGGTTTCAGCATCACGACTCCCTTTCAGTACCATGCAACTAATACCAAAGAGATCTGCCACGCACTACCACACACCCTGCACACAGAGGGATCAGTTCTAGCTCATACGTAAACTTGTACGCGTAATGCCATACAAACCAGTCTGGAGCGTGCACCTTTTGCAATGTCTAAGCACCAGGAAAACAGACCGGAACCCAGGTACTTATAAACAAATGATAGCGCTATGCACTAGTACCTCAACATGTTGACCTTTTGGTCTTTATGACCACAGACGTTATACTTTAATTCTTAATGCCTGCAGAAAGTACATAAATGGTATTTGTTCAATCGTATGTACAATACTTATTACCTACCTCTTCCTCAAAACGATGTGCTTGGCTTGCTTTAAGACTTTCTCTAACAAACACTCCCTGGAAAATCAGAAGAATTTTTAAAAATGCCTTGTTTCCAGTATCTCTTTCATAGAAAGGTACCATTTTTCAATACTTCATCAGATTATTTAAAAAAAAAAAGGAAAACAGAAGGAAGAAAAAGTCCATAGAACTAAACTAAAATAATGGAAATGCTTTTTTTCCACAAAAGAAAAGCGAAATCCACTTGGAGTCTGTGATCAATTTTTTACTCTGGCGACCTTCACAGCTTACATTTTGCTAAAACCTGACTTCTAAAGTTTCAAACTCTTCTAAAGTTTGAGCACTTTCTATTGCTTTGTTGACTCCAACTCCATCTCCCAATAACACTGAGAAGGAAATTCCAACATGGAAGTACTGAATAAGATAAAAGTGCCTGGGACCTAGCGACAGCCACGCCTAATTTATCCTACCCTTGTTGGCTGTCAGTCAGTTCCTTCCTGCTGATGGCCTGGGGGCCGGCCAGTCGCCGTTTCTTGCTGACCGTCAGCGCTGAGGTGATGGGGCGGGGTGTGGCCCCACCCATGTTGCTCCGGTGGAGCTCCCTGAGCAGCTGATGGAGGGAGTGCTCCAGGGCGTGGCTGTGATTGGGTTGCTTCACTGGCTCAGTCTAGGTCAGTCAGGGGGGCAAACGATGGCATGTAATCGGAACTGATACACTGGGCATTCTCTAGTTTTCTCAGCAACCAAAACTCTTGACCAAACCTCTGTGATCAGTTCAGCATGGTATACAGCGTGATCCATATTGCTTTCATTTCTCCACTAATTTTATGAAATTATCCAAGCATGTACATTAAACGAGTCAGACCTTTGTAATTTCTATCATTCGTCTTTAACCAAGCAAGCTCAGTGACCTCCCTCTTAATCTTCAACAATCATCAGATATTTGCCAGATCGACTGCGGCACATTTCTATTCACAGATTTATCCACTGGTTAGTTTCTGTCAGATCACATCATGGACTTCTCCATGAAAAGTGAATATCTGTGCTCCTTTAATAAAATAAAAAACCATTTACTGTCCATTCTCCCATACAATGAGAAGTCAGAAACCAAGCAGCCTATTCTTTAAACTGCTTACAGATGCTGCTATATATAATAATTTGTGTGCAGAATAGTTTGAGGGGTTAAATATATGCAACTTCATGAAAAAAGATTGTTTTCTCGTAATGCACATGACATTCAATAATTTTGTCAAACTTGGGAGGGAAAAACCTGTTTTTATGGATTATGATGGTATAAATCACACATGTACCAGTAGGCCAATGCCTCAACTCTCAATTGTTTCAGTCCATTTAGTTAGGTTTTCCTTGTTTTCAGCCAATATAATTTTATGATCAATCAATCCGGGAAAAAAATATGTGGCAAACATCCAATTTACAAGTTAAAATTTTTGTTACACTTGAGAGATAATGTCTATTTCTTTATCAAGCATGATATGTCCAACAATAAGAATTTTAAGCAATAACGTGAATATACAGAATATTAACAATAGGTTAGTTTGCTGCAAAATTGGCTATCCCATAAGGACCGGTGATATGATACTTGACCTTTGAACCCATACACACTCCATCTTTATAAGCCATGTGCCCAGCATTGCCCCAAAATGATTTAAGTTGGTATATTCACAATGTGCCCATGGCCATGACAATGGCAATGTTCATGATGAAGTTGACAACACCACGTTATCTCGGGTAGCTGCTGCCAGAAATTGAAAAGCTGTTTGGAATTAAACTTCGCTTTCAATTTTGTTTTTTGTTTTTAAAGGCGAAAATCAAAAGCAAAAATGTCAAACAATCACAGAGTGAATGAGAAGAGATAAGATAAACACTACTGTATTCCAATGTGTTGACTGGATATTCAGGGTTTTTCATTGCTTTGGTGCTCTTTGTAAATCAATGCCCCGGATTCTCCATGTCTACAAACTTTAGGGCAAAAATGGTTTGCCCTTTGGAATTATTTCCTGTTCTAAAAGTATTACAGTTGGTTATTTAACCAAACTTAAGCTTCATTTCAAATAGTAATTACTGTTCGAGCTTTGAGCAACTGTTCAAAAGCCACAATATTGCAGAAGAATATATGTACTCCAAAGTAGATAGCATGTAAGCGTGAGTTATGGGTTGTAACATGCTTTAACTGCATAAATCATGGTGTGGTGGATTTGATGAAAGTCATGAACCTGGAATCCAACAGAAAATGGCCAGCAAAAACAGCGCTTGTAGCGGCAATTTACCATCAAAAAGTTTGAGGTCAACTGACAGGCATGAAACTTGGATTTTGACCAAAAATCGAGGATATTCCCATCTTTAATAGACTTTGTACGATGTTTTTCAATTTTCAATGGCATGAGCGTGAAGTGAAAAATGAGGAAATTAGCTGGCCCGAGGAAAAGTTGCATGCTTGAAGTTATCACGATTGGTGATTGGCAAGTCCATGATTTTGCAAAACTTTGTAGTATGTAATGAAATTTTTTCCTCAAAGATGTTTGTGGATTTCAGTGATTTTCACTCGACTGCTGGGCATCCACATAGATGGGGGATACCCACACTTGTCTTTGGAATGATCGTGAGCTTTTAAAGAAAACATGGTGATACGTATTGGTCAAAAGGGAGACTTTCTAGTGGGGAAATTCTCCTTTTTGTTTTGTTTCACTTGGTTTTTTAAGGAAGCAGGATTTCCTGAATCAAGCTTAAGATGTGATGTCAGTATTGAAGCGCAACAATTAACAATTAATGTGGATTCTGGAAACACCTGCCTGAAATGATGACAGAGTCCTTTAAGCACAAACTGCACTGCACTGCATTCACAGCCTTTAGTGGTCTTTGGAAATGGCTAGGCTTCACCCCAAAAGCACCTCATATTAATCCTTGAACACACAGAGACACTGCCTTGGGGGCTGTGAGGGGTTGGAGTTTTTGGGGGAGGAGGGGAATCGGTGGTCAGAATGGGACGATCTCCAGCCCCTTTTAAGTTTAGCTTTCAAAATCCACAGGATATTAATGAATTTAGTGGCCCTGATGTAAACAATGGTGGTGTAGTGGACCAACTCACCAAAGAAGGCTCATAACAAAAACCATGCGACAACTGGAAAACAAAAAATCAGACAATCATTTCTAAACTCTACAAAGACAAGGTTTGTCAGACTTTCTCAACAAATTTCATGAAGTCGTAGTGGTATGACCATATTCATGTGAGTGGTGACACATGTTTTTTGTGTCATAGACACTCATAACGGAGGAGATCACTCAGTACATGTATGTTTAATGATGACAGTGACATGTACTTGGGTTGATATTAATTAAAATTTGAAAAAGGAAAATGTAGATGCACGGATTTGAGTTAATGTATGTACGTAGCATGTTTATAGTTTCCCATTCAGTGTGTATGGGGCAATATGGAAACCAAGCACGCCACAGAAGTAAAATGGATACCTGTATATGGACCTGAGTACCCATGGAGGAAACCCACCCCTGAAGAATTCAACCTTGAAGAGGAAACAGGAAATCTGTTTTAGCCAAAACAAAACCCTTTTGGATCATCTTTTTTCTTCATCCGGAAAGTTGCCGAGCAATTTGTACAGTTGGTCATTGGTCATGTTGGTGGTTGATCTCATACATCAGGCTTCAAAATACCTTTTGGAGCGGTGGACTTAGGAACATGAAATTCAAAAACAGTTCCTGACACTTGGGTATCTGGTTGTGATACATAGGCCCTGATACTTGCTTCATGAACTCCAAGTGTGAATAAGAGAGGGTGTGGTTCTTACATGGAAATGGCACCCTACTGAGGACACACACTGCCTCTTTGCACAGGTTCCTTCCTGCCCCCCCTCCCCTGGAGCGGGTGCAGCCAATTTGTTGTTGGAATGGAAATTATGTACTCTCTCTTGTGGGCACTGGGTGACTGTTGAAATATTTGGCTCACGTTCCATACAATGGGACGAGTTAACAAAATGAGGGCACTTTACGATAACAGCATTCCTAATTTACATAAAATTGGTGTCAACGTGATTGTAAGACACTACTGGAAAACCTTCTGAAGGCTTGGTATAAAAAAGCGCACCGTAACATTATCAAAGAAATGTTATGCCCAGCTGTGGCTAACCCCCCCCTCCTCCGATTTCCCCCATCTTTTTGAGTTTAAAATGCCAGTAAGGGGGCACCTGTTCAAAGAGAAGATTCTGTGGGCATACACTAAAGCCATCTGTCCGGTTTCAGTTCATTCTACGTCAGTGGTGTAGTGAGTTCGTACAGTTTATGACTTGGCCTATACACACAACAGCCATAAATGGTAAGAGATGTTACTGACTTCTTAGTTTCTTTTGAAGGCAGAGAGATGTATCTGAATATAAATGAGCATGAAAATGTCTCTGAAGCCGCTCAGTTGGGCTATTTTCTTCCACTCACCCCAAGTCGAAAATCAAAATTGGAGCTTGACTGAAAAATAAAAATCAAACAATGTCCGATGAAAAGAAATCATTTTGGAGAACATGAGTACAATATGTTGGCATGTCTTGAAACGGAAAAACTCATAAAAATGTCAGTATGGCCTGCGCATATGATATGCCACACTAGAGAAACTGCTGGGGGAATTCCTGTATGCAGCATTTATACATGTTACCAGAATGAGCCCCAAGCTGGACCAAGAGAGGGAGCTATTTTCCTAGTAACGGAGGTTTTTTTGGTTGGAACTGCCCTTTGATGGTTTAAAAACGACTAAGAAATGCACATGTTACAGTTACGTTGTTACCAGCAAAATGAGCACACCCGACCAACATGGCTCTTTTCAACTGATGAGGGGGTACTTCTGCTCATAAGGGCCTGCCTCCTTCTGTCAGACAAGACTTAGGTGTCATGTTGGACTACTCAGTAAAGCAACACAAACTGAGTACGGCCAAAAACATTCGTGAACTTTAACCTGTGCAAATACTGTTAGCACATAACGGCCGAGTCAACCCTAATAAGTCCCAAGCTGGACCAAGAGAGGGCGCAATTTTCCTTCAGTTGGAACTGCACTCTGCTGGTTCACAAATGACTATAAAATACTAGTGTTACGGTCGTGTCACAACAAATTGAACACTTCCCACCAACATGGCTCTTTTTAACTGATGAGAGGGATGCTTCCGCAGATTGCACTCAAGCTTTGGTATGAGGAAGAACATTGCTGAAAATGCAAGCTTTGCTCCATGTCTGGCTTCAGCTGATGTTAGGTGACTCTCCAGGCTCTGATTCAATATGACTTAATGTTTCGCTGCTGGAACTTGATGGAGTCCTTCGTTTGGTCCAATTATCAAAAGAACTGCCAACAGCTCCTGGGCCCAAGATGAAGCCAGGCAAAAATGAAGTTGAAGTTTGAGGAAGACCAATTGAATTTCCATTTCTGGGATTGTACCCCAGAAGAGAGCCTAAAAATAATTTGTTTTTTTTTTTTTTCTGAAAGTGCTCACCTGTGAATCAGTGCTGGTGTTGTGACACAATGTCAGGCAAAGTTGGACACCAGGGAACAGAGTGCAGAAGATCTGATTGCCAACCACAATGTGGGGCACCGGTGATTTCAGCTGTACTGCCTCTCGTGCAATCTAAAAAAAAAAGAATGTCCAGGAAAGTGGACCATGATATTATGATGTCATATTTAAATATCTTATGTGCAAACTCAAATCAGAAATTCAAGTAAATAAAAGGAAGTCTCGTCCAATGAAAATGGATGAAAATTATTGAAAAAAGAAGATCATAACACGGTGAGTGCACAGACTCTCAGTTTCAATTGATCATTCTATAAAGCTCACTCAGGGCTCCCACTGAAATCTTAAAACCAAATTCCACAACTTTCCAGGACTTCCCAGAACAAAAATGTGACAATTTCCATGACATTTAATGCCACAGTGACTGAATGTCACAATGCATGTCACCATCAGGGGGCTACATTCCCACTCTTTGCTGTGACTGGTTATCACACCATCTGTCATCGCTGTGATAAACTGTCACATTTATACCCACTTCTGTCATGACTACTTATCTCATTACCTGCTGTATCGTCAGCAGTCACTGCAATAATCAGTTGCCAAGGCAAGACAGAGCCATACCGTTCCTTACCTGAGCAAAGACCTCCTTGCAGAACAGCACAGTCTGTGCTGCCTCTAGCCTCTCCTGCCAGTGAGCATCAGGTGAGACACGGCTCCTACTGGGTTGTGGCAAGAAGGCTGTGGCAATATCAGCTTCCCCTGGGAAAAAAAGAGAAGATTAAGAGAGCAGAGCCAGGGAGTTATCAAGATGTCAGCTTCAATGCTGTGGATTCGAATGGGAGGGGCCTGTTGTCCTATAAAGGACTGAAAAAGGTAAAGCTCAGCAGCTATTGGTTCCTTGGACTCAATTCTCCTTCAGCACAGAGAACGTGCCATCCGCTTCCTATGCAGAGAAGTTTTACAGAGTTAGGGGTTAGTCATGCACAAACTGTCCACACGTGTACTTTATAGAGAAATAATGCAATGGGAGACTTTGAGACTATGGTGGCAGCAGATATACCAGTCCTTTTCCAAGGTATTGCACGTGCTCAGAACTATGCACGTGCTCAGAACTATACACGCATGCTCAGAACTATACACGCATGCTCAGAACAATGCGGGCATGCTCAGAACAATGTGGGCATGCTCAGAACAATGCAGGTATGCTCAGGACTGGATAAAAGGACTGGTATGATTGTCACTATCAAGCATCTCAAAGTATCCCAATGAGATGTAGTCACATTTATCACATGTCCTTTCAAAAGTCCACTCACAGGATCAGTCACAGGTAACAGGATTTTCTACCATTCAAAGCAATGTAAAAAAAACTGAGGCTGGAAGGAAAAACAGTCTGTTACCTTTCAGCAATATGTGAAGTTGTATTACTATTGCCAAAGGGACTGCAAGGAACAAGACAAATATGGCAGCATCGAGATAAAGGTGTATAGTCACAGTCCATTGGAATAGCTTGTGACTTGGCTTGAGGCTGGACAATCTGTGATGGATGTACTGGTATATTTGACTGTCTGAGGGACTTGTGATGGACAAGACTACAGCCCTGGTGTCCAATGACCAAAATATCAACTGACTGACCTTCTTGTATGAGTACTTGGATGTGACTGGTGCCTTCTATATCTGACGGGATGGTTACTTTCAGTGGAGTCTGATTCTTCTTTTCGGCCGCTTCGGAGTCCATGTCGGTCGTCTTGGTCACCTCAAAGGTTCCACTGTGCCAAAAGCGTGATCCAGCTGGAATAAATTTGCATTTATAATTATGATAAATTAGAATAAACCTATTGGTAGGTGGCGCCCTTTTGGCTGCTGTGTTGAGGTTTGTTTCCGCTCCGTTTGTTTAATTTTGCTTCTTTTTAAATGTTATTTTAAATCTTCTCTTCAAACACATTTATTTAAAATTAGTTATAGGTGCTAATGAATTTAATCAACTATGATTTTTTGTGTATCATTGTATTTAATGTATTTTTTAGTTTCAACTTTAACTGTTTGTATTTGACTAATTAATTTTAATTTTTAACATATTGTACAGCGCTATGAGATAATTTTTTATGGAGGGTGCTTTATAAATATTCCGCATTATTATTCTTCATCACAACAGCTGGCACGTACAACATTAACCCCAACTCTTTAAGGTGGGTACACGATAAAATTAGTTGAAATTGGAGGATTTAGCCCTATTATTAAGGTAACAGCCCTGGTTTGTGTAAGGTTTGAGCATAGAGGAAGGACACAGAAGGAGTTGCAACTCTGGCACTTCAAAGTGTTCAATGATCGTCGCCGCTGAGTCAGACGAGTAATAGATAATATTCCAAAAATGCCCGATTACTGCCTGCATCTTTGCCAGACAAGCGGGGCCAGTACTATCCTAGCAACAGTTGTAGTGTTATGCTTGCTATTAAATACATATTATTGCTGTGACTAGGAAATAGAGAGAGAAAACACCCTGATATTAGACCTACTTTTGTTGTTCCATTATCCATGCAAAGTTTGTAATTTTATTCTCCTCCGTCCAATACATCAGTGTTCAAAGACTTGGTACGAATTTGGCTAAGACTGGCCAACAAAATGTTCACTACTACTGGAAAGCTAAGTTCATAAGGAATAAAATGCGCTAGTTCATCACAGGGAGTGATCATGAAATCTATCTATGCTTTTGTACAAATGCCATAAGAAAAATGATTCAAACAAAACACAAAATCTTCTAAACAACCGGGCTATTTATTCCCAAAAAAACTCCAGAAAAAAGAGTTCATTATTGGGCAATGACTGCACATGTACATTTAGGGCACACGACATAATGCAAGCAACTGCGCAAGCATTAAATTTGGTAATGAGGTCATACCAAGCACCAACAAATGTATGAATATTCAATTTCCCATGCCTGAGTACACTAAGTTTTAGGATTCATTACCAGCGACAAATTGCAGCGGTGACCATAGGGTACAAAGGGATTTCGTGGATGTGAGACAGATGGTGCGTAGCAAGCGCTCGCTGTGTTCTGGCTATGGACATACCGGGCATGCCAGAAAGTGGTAATTGGCCAGATGCTATAGCCCAGGCAATTCAAACTCCTTCTGTGTCCTTCCTGTATGGTGAGAGCAAATCTTCATGTGTCTGGTGTCAACCAAGATTTGAGCATTAATTTTCTGAAAATACGGACCCCTTCACACGCCTACATTTCCCCCCCCCCAAAAAAAAGAACCTGTTGAATAACCCAATTTGCTACCACACACAGCCTATTGCTTTATCTTTCCAACACTGCAAGTACATGTAATATTAATGGAATAAATATGTGCTTGGCTGGTCTTAGGTCTCAGGAGAATGGATGCGACGAATGCCCGAGCCACAGGCAAGGACATTATCAGCGTTTGTTCTCCTGAGGAAGGTCTTAAACATTAAAGACCAGCCAAGCACATATATATTCCCATTCATACATACCTTTTTATTCAGAGATGCAAACGAAGGCAACATATGATGGATTTCCAACGATATTGTTCTAAAATTTTACCTTTATTTTCCCAAACACCCCTGTCCAGTTTATGGTATATTCCTTTTGAAAGTTGTCCAACAGTATCTCCTTTGTCTCATTTTCATTTGAATGTGCACAAATCTACGGCATTTTTGTATGGGCACTGGGTGTACCCAGCAGCTGCTGCTACAAATTATCTACAGCCCGGCCCTTCTGGCAACTGTGGACACCCTGTTTGCAAATGTATGCTAGCTACAACTTAATTGTGATGGACAGAGGGTCTCTGGTATGTGAATGTACATGTACCTGTCCGGAAGCTGAGATCGCCCAGAATATTGGCGCCGACCTTCTTAAGGCGCCAATGCTGTCTCAACCTCAGCAGGTCGGCATGGAAGTCGTTCGGGTGCTGGGGCTTCTGTGGGCTGCTGGTGGTGCCAGCCGGGGGCTGTCGCATCATACGCTTTGCCCCATTCTGGAGGACAGACGCTGCAGCTGCCAGGCTCTGCCACACACAAACAGCAATGCATGCAAGTACATGTAAATATTGAGAGTCATTTCTCAGTGGCACAGGTGGTTGATATGTCCAAAAATAAATTCTCCCTCTAGCCATTTTGCCCTGGGTTCGATTCATGGGATATCTGTGAGTAGAGTTATTTGTTGATTCTCTCCTGAACCAGAAACGTTTTCCTCCAGGTCCTCTGGTTCTCCTTCCTCAACAAACATCAACGTTTTGATCTCTGACTGTGGTCTGTGGTCAGATATGGGTCATTTGGCAGCTGTCTAATAGGTATTTTTACATGTCTTTTGCTTGACCATGCAATGCACCCTTCATAATTCATGAGAATGTTACAGCAGTACATGACATCAACTCAAAGATGAAGTGTTCAGTTAGGGACTATGGCCGTGTCCAAAACGGGCCTCCAGAGCTACGGCTATGTCTATGCGTCTCCACGCATTTCCAATGGAGCAAAGACCTAGACCTAGCTCTAGACAAGAGATTCGGATGCAGCCTAAGGCTTCTCAGACAAATGCAATGACTCTTTTAAGGAGAATGGTTCACAAATGACAATGTTAATATATACTTAGCAGCGTCGAAATTTTTATTACAACTCAGGGGCTATATAACCTTTTCCTCTGCCACAGAACTGTAAGAATTTCAAAAATGTTGATTCTCAGCATTAGTTTTTCAGTTGGGAAAGGGAGAGAAACATTTTGCAGGCCAACTCTGAGGTTTATGCTGCAAATACAGAATAGAGTGAATGAAATAAAATAAGTAACCAACGGAAATTGTTAAGTGACAAAGTCTTTTTTTTCATGTGTGCATTTCATTGTTTTAGTATACTGATATGCCGCTGACCTTCTTCTTGTCAAGGAGTTGAATGATTTGCTTGGACTGGGTTTGCTCTTGAGAGACTGGATCCAGCACCATATACCGAGGATCCTTGGCCCATCGGCTGATGTGCAAGATGTCTGACAAGACACTGATTTCAGTCAGGGCTAACCTGTACGCGGAGGGAGAACGTCATCAATGTGGGAATGAAATTGTGGAAGTTTCACACAAGGAAGTGTCCCATCAAACTGACCTGGGTCACAAACAAATAAGATTGGTTCAGTGCTGAGTGGAAGAATTGTGGAAGATTTGGGATGGTCCTTGGCAAAACTTTGCGAGGGAGTTAGGGTTTTTTTTTTTTCCTAATTAAGAAAATGATTTATCAATCATTTCTGGTAATGACACCAAGGATTCTTCAAAAGTGCCTAGGTACGTGTTGCTTGCAAGCCTGAAGAAACCTTTATAGAGGAAATAAGGAGAAGCAGTTACGGTCGTAGAGGTGGGAGGAAACCCCAGAGGAATATTCTGGGTAAAACCCACGGAATCAGGTAGGGACTGAAAACCCAATTCACATGTGGTTCCAAACCAGGATTCAAACCTGGACTGCAGAGGTGGTAACAGTCACAATAGACACCATCTTGGGCCATGCTGCCTTGCACATGCAGTTCTCTGTATTTCCTTTTTGACCTACCACAAACCAACAGATGTGGATGCTTTTTCTAACCTAAGTTTACTGTGGACTGACTCCCAGGGCCACTGAACAGCTTGCACCGTAGCGGATTCCTCCTTGATCTCGGCTTTCTTGGCGTCTTTCTCCTCATCAGCAAGGGTGCTCTCCACCTCCTCACCCTCCGGCTTGGTGAAGTCAATCTTGTGGGCAAGCTTGGCCAGATTCTCTGACATGGACAGAGGCCTGTTTAGAAGAAAAAAAATCAGACAGATAAACAACAGAATTGACCCATGAGGGATTCAAACTTACAATCTTGGGAGCGCCATCTCTTGACTCAATCAACTGAACCCTTCCAGCCCTATGTATGCTTGGTTTCTCCCATTCGTCAACATCTTTGTTTAAACGTGTTCGCCTACATGTAAATGTAATGGATCATTTTTGAAGATGGGGGCGGGCATCTTGTTTTCATTGCGCGACCGTGTGACGTTACTGTGTGACTTGTAGCTCATGGAAGCACAATATGTGCTATGACAAATTACAAGATCTTAGAAATCCTTGCCCCCCTTGCCTCCGAAAATGGTCCAACTGAAATAAGGAGCACGCTTGGCATTGGCCAGCCCAACACATGCACAATTGATAAACACAAATGGCATGGATGGTGCGATCGTCGTTGTGTGGGAACAAGAGAGTAAAAATCTCAGATTTTCAAAAAATACTCGGTCTCACGTTCTGAAACCCTCTGTTACACCCTTTTCAGGAGCTACAGGTACACATGTACCTCAAGTTTGCTCTAACAGGAAAATTTGATTGAAAAAGTGGAGTTTAAGCTACTGGATCATTCACCTCAGAAGTTTGATTTAAAAAACCCATGCATGTAGCATTCTGACCCCATGTATACTACATTGGCTCAAAGTCATGTTCAGCACAATCTTTGAAAGTGCGCAAATTTTAAATTTGTGCAATTTTCCTTGGAGTAGTTTTTATTAGGTTGCATATATTTTAAATCTGCACAGGTAACGTTGAGTGTAATCTTTAAACATCTGCAATTTTGTGCATTGAACTGTGCGATTCATGATGCTTAGTGTTTGGCCAGGCCAAGTGGTGGCACAGGGATTCCCATTCCCTTTGAAGTCTCCAGCTGTCTGGCACCAGTCAAGCTGGGACACTGATGCCTTGAGTAAAGGCTAGAATTTCAGTACAAACTAGTAGTTTTAGGGGTCATTTCAAAATCCTTATTTTCCCTCATTGTTATTTATTTTGTCTGGGATCCTACTTTTATTGCAGATATATTTCTAATTAATACATTTACTGCTCTAAAAATGTCCAAATCAAATGTCAACACGGGAATTAAATAGCTCTCACAAGGATGTTTTCAGTGGGAAGCAAAGTCCGATTTAAATGTCGACAAGGGAATTTGATTGCTCTCACATGACAGGATTCACCAAAATGCTTGAATGGCAACATTTCTCGCAGCTGGCCTGTGTGACGTACTGTGCCCCTGCCCCCAAAAGTATGTACATGTACATGCAGCACCAGTCATGCGAAAAACAGACCCAACAAAATTGTGCAAAAAACATGAAGGGCCTAGGTCTAGTAGGAGTTGATGTCACTCTCTTACATATGTTTGTTGCCTGTAGCTCATGTATCCATGCCATATCTATCGCTGTGCGCAATTTTCATGGCAATATCTGTAGTTGCGCCAAACTTAAAAATTGTACACAAATTTTAAATTTCCGCACTTTCAAAGATAGCACTCAACAACATAACAGTGGCACGGAGTAAGGCCTAGTACAGTAACAGTGATATAGACATGAATAAATGAGTGAGGGCGCTGTTTATTTGGAAACTCATTTTTGTAATCTAAATTGGAAATTTGGATTTTTTTTTCTTTTTTTTGCACGCTGTAGCTCCTCTATTTAATTTCCAATTTCAAAATTTTGAAATTCGAAGTGGAGCCAGCATTTTATTCAATGAAATAACATGAATAAGGCACAAACAAGAACAAAGATTTTACAAAAATATAACTTTTCACACACATGTATCAGCTTTTCAGTGAAAATGTACAATTTACAAAATAACCACAGTTTGCTCTGTGCATGTACTAACACGACAAAAAACATCTTAAACATCCCCGCTTCGAATCGATTTTTCTTTGCTTTGGAGAGTCCGATCATGGTCCGATCATGGATGGTCCGATGGAATCCAAATTTAGGCCTAGGCCTATATCACAGTAGGCCTATTTCTTATGACATCCCAATAGCAGAATAATAGGACCTACATGTAGGCCTTGTGTGACCTAAGTTCTCAAAGTAGGCATAGCCATCAAAGCATGCGAAGACTTCACAAAAATAAACATTCTAGCCAAGTTTAATACATACTTAGTGTACGTCTCTTGTCCATCTAGAGACACTTCTTGCACTTGAAATTCCTGAAGCGATTCTATGGAAACGGTTACAGGATCCATCTCGAAGCAGCAGGTGACGGATGGCACGGCCGAAGTCACCGATCGAAATGGCCAATAGCACGGAATTCCCTAATGTTTTCATTAAAAAATAGCTAACGCTGGTATCCGATTTCAGATTTAATGAATAGCCTGGTTTCTACGCTCCCACCACAGCTACAAATTGACTAAAAGAACTGAAGGTCCCAGATTCCCTCTTCGGCGCAATGCTTCGTGCGCAGACACATTGGATAATACGCTGGTAACCGCCGATACAGGCAGACGTTACGTTATATACCGCCCTAGGCCAAGGTCATCTGACGTCACCAGTGCAGCGGTCATGGGGCGATTCCGAGCGAGGAAGCAGAAGAAGATGGCCGGTAAGTTACCTCCTCTTTCTTAGACATTCCTTGGATTTTTCTGGTGTATTTACGTGCTCTAGCCTCATGCATCCGTCTCGGCGTTATTTTTCGTTTCAGAAACGCCCACGCGGTACTACTGCAACTACTGCCAGGACGAGCTGAAGGCGTTCAGCGTGCGATGTTGCGAGTGTACGGACTTCGACCTTTGTTTACAGGTAATGGTATCGTGCGCATACAATACGCTGTGTGTGGGACCGTGCGGAGCAGTGTGTTTGTGCATTGAAGCACTATTTCCTGCCTGCATATTTGAACATAGTGCATGCAGTGTGTACTGTATCCTACAGCGTCTGCGAACATTATGACACAAACTAATTTCAGTATTTGTACCTCAGCAGTTCACTGATTATGAAATTTTAGGGAAATCTCAATCCTGCATTTGAAACGTAATTTATTCAGAATTCAGGCCTGGGCTTAATTCAAAATTGATAATTTAATTGAGATTTTTACTGATAATATAAAACACGAAATTACTATATACGCCCGTGGTTAACGTATTTTGCAGGAAATTTTGCAAAACTCCACGCTTTCCATAAGTTAGCAAACTAGACGTTTGTCTAGTACGCTCACTTTCACATGCACGACATGCATAGTAACCGACTGCCCCTTACACATGCATGGAAGAGCTGTGGGCGTGAAGAAGTCGCAGATAAGGTCTTGTCCGAAACGAGCTTCCAAAGCTACGGCTACAGTTTGTAGGTCTGTTGTCTGCACATCTCCATGCATTTCCAATGGAGTGAAGACTTAGATCTAGCTCTAGACAACATAACTAACATAACTGGCACAATGTGGGCCGAGAGCGTGGAGGCCATTTTGCACATGCGCAAATGCATACTGGCATGTTTTTCATAAAATGGACCAAAATGCAACTCCTGATGTCATTTTTCAAAACTTCTTAAAGAGTGACTTTGATCATGTAAAATACAAGTTAGCACCTTCAGATTTTGAAAAATGATTATATGGGGATAATTAGGCATAATATGTACTTATGGTGGACATGTGGTTGGCTACCAGTGCAAATCAAATGGAGTTGAATTCATTTAAAGTTTCACATCTAAGTGTTTACACCAGAGGACTTGATTTCAAAACTTCTCTCAACAAGAAGGAGAATTCAGTATATTTTTCGACCGATGTATTTTAAAGCACCAAAGAAATAACTTTTAAAAAATATAAGCCACGAAAAAGAGCACAAAATTGACAGAAAATGATGAGAAAAGTTTGGCTCTCTTAACTCTCTTACCGTTTATAATCACTCTCACTATACCAACATATTTGCGGGGTCTTGAATCTTTCGACCACTAAAAATTATCTTTAAGTTTGGCTGCATCAAAATTTATAATGAGTACAATGTATTCGTTGCAAACATCATATTTGACAGAATTTTGATCATGTATGAGAATTTTGACAGAAACTGCATGACGTTGGAGAATGCTGAAAATGCTGTCACATGTAGTGCTCGAAAATTCCATGCGCGATTTTCATTTTGCCGGTTATTTTGGAGATAATTTCACTGAAAATAAAATTAAAATTAACAACTCTGAGCATTAGATTTTCATCATGAATCGTATTTTATGTCTCAAACGTCATTTGTTTGCGAATATTATTCAGAATGACAGATTTTCTTTTGAGAAAAATTGTTCCAAAGAGAAAAATTGCGGAGCATCGCCATTCCATGGAGGGGCTCATGAATATCGAATAAAAAAGAGGGCGTCAAAGGTCAAACAGGCTATGATGCAGCGAAATGTTTCTCTAACGTCACCGTGAGAGATTGATAAAAGCCGCAAAATCACCACGATCTGTATTTTGGACTGCAGTTTTCGGGAACATACTTGAAGAAAATGTGATTGGTCCAGTCGTAAAAGGATGATGGTTTGGTGGTGTTTTTTTGCACTCTTTCTCTCCTGTTGTACATCCATATATGGATTTTACTTGCTTTTTTTGTGGTCGATTTTTTTTTACACTAATGACAGAATTGAATGACATTCGCGACTACCGACTTAGGGACCCGATTAATTGTGAGAGGTTTCTTTTTAATTTCGTGATTATGGTTTTAATATGTGTAAATATTATCACCTTTCACCACATATAAATCTGTGTAAAATAACCTCGGGAATTATCACTCCTCAGTAAATTCTATTGGCTTGGATTTTAACAGGGAGTTCATGTCCCTCCAAATTGCTAATGTTAGAGACTTTAATTAATTAACTCCAGTGAAGTTGAAAGGTTGACACGGTCATCATTGTTTCAAATACATGTATCAGCCATGACTTCCCTCATTACATCAATCATTGGAAATTAATTCACTGCTGTTCACTTCAGGAAAAATGAACCCCCAAAGTTGAACATTATTTAATGGTTTATATTTTTAGGAACCTGCCTAGTACTACTAGATGAACGTAGGTCGTTCACAAATCGCAACGGAAAGTGTGAAGTTTCACAAAATATCTGCAAAATGCATTGTCCGCGGGCATATTTAGTAATTTCAACACAGCATTTATGGAATTCGGATACAAAGCAGTTGTGAATGACATTTGAGCTGTCTTCACCGGGTAAACATGTGAGAAAAAAAATGGAAAAATATTTCACATTGTACAAGGACTTTTATACCCCAGACGTTAGTAGCAATGCAATGTAGACGATGTCCAACCCGGGCCAGGCTGGTAGTCAGATGGTGATGTGGCTAGGGATTTAACTCATAACGTTGTATGGAAAAAAAATCAGGGTTTTCAACATTCAATTCTCATATCATAGAATTTGATTAGTGCAATTTTTCAATTTTCACCCTTGTGTATCAGTTTGTTTAACCCTAACCCCCCAAGGGTTGCTGGCCCTAACCTTCCCCATTTATACAAAGTTAAACACCCATATGGGACTTTTTGCACAGAGGCTGTTGGACTTT